TACTTTTTTTGGGGGGTGCGGAGGGGGGAGGCCACAAAATACGACTGGGTTTGTGATGAATCTTGTGTGCAGCTTAACTTCACGAACCCAATGAGAAATGAAATATGCCCACTGGTGCCGCGTGGTGGATTTTAACCAGGGATTAAAGCTTGTTGCATAAGCAGCTGCAGCATCCTCCCCCTCCCTCCCCTCCTCTCTCTGATCACTTGATCACTTGAAATGTTTTCTGGGGCAAAGAGCAGGAAGCTGCAGGCTTATTCTGGCAGCTCTGCTCTGTTTGAGGAATGCTGCTGGCATTCAGGTAGATCTGAGTTATCTGGAAAACAGCATTTGGGCTGGGGACAGTGACAAAGGTATAGTGGCAGATGGAATCCTGGGCGAGTGACGGATCAAAAAGGAAGCCCAGGGCAGGCCCACTAAGGGCCATTCCTGGGCTTGATGGAATGTGGCTGATAAGAGGTCCTCCCAGTGCTGCTGGCCTGTGTCTAGAGAGCATTCCGTGGCCCTCCTCAAACCCTCCCTGCACACGGAGGAGTCCTGGCAGCTACCAAATGCTCCCGGTGAGCCAGGCCCTGGGCTAAATCAGCACTTTCCACAGACTGGCTCCAGGAGGCAGGGAGCATGGTTACAGGCGTGGAAGTGAGCCCAAAGACGTGAAGTGAGCTGCCCAAGGTCACACAGCTGGCAAGGGCCAGAGACCAGACTTCCAACCCGGTTAGGACTCCACATCGCTAAACCCTGTACCTTCACTTGCCTCTACAGAAAGAAAAGAGAAGCATATGGTCAGTGTTTTCTTTAAGGGGTCAGCTCCTTTGACCATGAGTTTTAAGTCCTGAATGATACAGTTGGGAGAATTTTAGATCAGACTCACCAAAGGCCCAGAGAAACCTCCTCTCTCCCTACAGACCTTCAGCAAGATTTCAAGGGAGTCGCTTTGCCGTCTCTAAAATCAGGCTTTTTTATTCCTTGAAATCAGTGATTCTCAACCAGGGGTGGTTTTGTCCATCCCCACCCCACCCCGCCCCCCACTCCCCGGATATGTAACAATGTCTGTAGATTTGGCGGTTATCACTATCTAGTAGGGAGGCTGCTAAACATCCTACAGCGTACAGAACAGCCCCCCAGCACGGAATTATGTGGTCCAGCCATCCCATTGTGCCAAGGTAGGGAATCCTTGGCTGAAAGTAAAAGGAAGAAAAAAATCCAACCATTGTGCCTCTGGATAGAAAAGCCAGCACAGGCCTAAACAAGCAGGTTCCGTGGTGATATTAATAAGCAATGAGCTAATAGAAATAGATTAAGCCTGTCTCTCTTCATATTCCCAGGGGACGGAGAGAATCGGGGGACAGAATCAGGCAGAAGGAAGCCAGGCAGAGCCCCGGTGATAAAGCTGGTCTCCCAGGAGAGGAAGGGCTGGCCCCAGCTCCCTTCCCCAGGCACCCTCACTAGCAGCGGCCTGGCCTCCCCGACATGGCTCTCCACTGGGCTGGCCCGCAGCCAGGCCAGCAGCAGGAGGAGCGGCCTGGGCAAGCTGCAGCCCGAGATAGGCTGTTCGGCTGGCTATGAAAATAAGCACCCACGGAGTTATCAGCCTCAAGCTCGCAGCAGGCCCCTCGGTCCGTTATGGGAAACGTGGGGATCGAGGCAAGGAAATGGTTTAAATATCTTGTTTTGTTTTGTTCCTTTCAGCCAATTGGAACTGAGGCCCACTTCAGGCTCGGTGACAGGAGGGCTCACCTTCAGAAGAAGGAGTCATGTTACAGCCACAGAGAGGCAGTTAGGACGCCCTACCTTGGAGAAAGAGTCCCCTGGAAGGTCTTTTTTTTTTTTTTTTTTTTTTCCACTTCTTTCTAGGAGGGACTGGCAGGATTAGGCAAATGGAGGGAGAAGGGAAGGGCATGGGGGGATGGTACATCAACCAGACAGATGGCCACAGTGTGTGGGGAGAGATGGAAGGGATGCAGGAACAAAAGGAAAATGAAAAGAAAGATGATCCGGACCTCCACTTCCCTGCAGTTACTATGGAAGGAAGAGCACGTATCTATTTGCTCTGTTAGTTTCTCTCTCCCGCTAGACCAGTGGCAGTGGCTGGAGACGTTGCCACATCCGGAGGAAGGGTGCCCTACTATATCCAGTGTGGAGACCAGGGATGCTGCTGAACAACTGCCGTGCACAGGATGCCCCCCCACGCCCACCCCGCACCACCACCCACAACAAAGAACTAGTCAGCCCCAATGTCACTACTGCCTGTTCGGTCTGATCTCCCAGGGGTGGGGGTATCCATTCAATCATTTAATCAGACCTAACACTGACCAGGTGAGAAAACACTGAACTAGGCTGAGAGCTTCGAGGCAAAGACCTGGTCTGAACGCTTCACCATTGTGCTCTCGGCGTCTAACATTATGCTCCACGTGTATTCGAGCTCCACAGAACACCATCCCCCGCTGCAG